GACAGAGGCCAATTTCAAGGCGTTTATAAGAGGAAGTGATGAGAAGATAAGTTTATTTTCTATTTAAACATAAAAATAGCATTTTAATAACATCTAAAGGTGACATAAATACTTTATTATGGTATAGTACTTAAATATATGCCTGAGAAAGACATAATATTGGCCCTTTAAAGTGACTGAAACACATTTTTTGCACAGTTTTGTATTTTGTTCCAACATGTACCTGATATGTTTTTCAAAGAAAAATAAAGTGTGGCCCAACAGTCGTTCAACGAAGCARGCGTGAAGAGGTTTATTGTCTGTCTTCATTTTGTTCAACCAGAAACTTGAGTTTTCTTACTTCAGTTTTTTCTCTCAGCCCACTCACCACCCACACAGCTGAACTCATTCATGACTCTGAAAACTCAAACTCAAAGACAAACGTCTACAGACCCTTGAATTGCTGCTGATGCGTGTGAGCAGCGTGTCCAGGATGGTGTCATTGTCATGGCGATGCAGCAGGATGAAGCGCAGGAAGGTCTTGAGKAGGGACGTTTCCGTTATGCTGCGCAAGAAAAGATCTAGGTAGGCGGTGCTGGCGATCATCTCATCCACCGACGACTACACACACACACAGACAGACACACACAAATTAACATAAATGTTTAAAATGAACACCAGCGGGATGAATCACACAAGAATTTAATCAAGAAATAGTTTCAGAGTAAAAGCATTTCCGACTCATTTTATCCAGTTTTCATTGTGATGACTCACTTTTAAAATTCTGCATCTAATATTTAACATTCAAACCCCGGACATCCGGTACTTACAAACCAGTGACGTGCGGTCACTAGAGCCCTTTCATCATGGAAATTATAAAGAAAAAAAAAAACAATATTAAAGACATTAAACTGTCATATTTATATAATGCTTTGTTCTATAAACGCATTTTAAATTAACTTAAACACTTTTTAATATTTTTCTTATTCAAATTTGCTGAATTTCCTCATATCTTGTTCAAATACAGGACGAGACGGACTATGAGAAAAAACAAGCTCCGCCTCCAGATTGCGCAATCCCTCCTGCATGTTATGTAGTGGGAGCAGAAAATGTCTCTATATGTCACCAGTAAAATGTTTCTGATTTTTTTTAATAAACACCTGACATTCCACAGTTTAGCTGATGTTTATTCTATAAATATGTATTTGTGTAACGTGTTCTGTGAGCTGAAAAGACGGAGACAAAACATTTTTTAGGCTCAAGGAACAGCAGGGGGGTGCTCATGAGCTCAGAGAATGCATGAGCTGCAGCAGAGGTTAGCTGCAGAATAAGAACAAAAAGTTACAGTTAGCAAGACAAGTGCAGTATTTAAGCAGTGTTGTATAAAGTACCACAAAGTGATACATGAGTAAAAGTACAAGTATCTTACCAGAAAAATTACTTTGGTAAAAGTTAAAGTCTCCTTTAGGAATAATACTTGAATAAAAGTCTTAAAGTATCTGATATTTTTGTACTTGAGTATTAAAAGTAAAAGTATTAATTTAAAATGAGCAGTTAGATTTTCTGTAAGGACATTTACTATTAAGTGACCGCCCAAAAAATACAGAAATTACTATATCGTATTAAAATAATGAATTTTTATTAAATTTAGGATGCACTAGTCCAGCTGTTTCAGTTTATATACATATATCAAGGCTGCACAAAGCTTTTCCCCAAAATGAAAATCTATCTGAGGGCTGCGGCCAAATGTAATAATATAATTCATGAAATACAAATACTTCTTAAGCACAGTACTTTTATTTGAATGATTATGTCCTGCTGGAGTGTGACATGATTTGTTTGTGTACAAACTAATATGCTAGCAGAGTTTTATATATTTATACTTCTCATTCAACCACAGTTAAATTCACTCTATCTAGGAGGCTCAGTTTATATGGATAGTTTTTATTTTTACAATAACTAGCTGGAATAAAAGCAAGCAAAAAAGAAATAAAAGTAACGACTTTCTACTTCTTCCTTTTTTAAAAAAGTGTAAGGAGTAAAAAGTACAGATAATTGTGTGAAAATGTAAGAATTAGAAGTAAAAAGTAGGCTGAAAAATAATTACTCAAGTAAAATACAGATACCCAAAAAATTCTACTTAAGTGCAGTAAAGAAATATTTGAACTTAGTTTCTTTACAACTCTCTGTTTAGGRTACCTGTTTTCAGTGTAATAAAGTTAAAAAAAGTAAAAGTACAGCAGGGATCCATTTGTTTTCTCTCTTTTAAACCTGACTTTTAGAATGAAGGATTATATATTTTAAAGCTCAAACTATTTTCTAAACTGGACTTGGAAGCAGCAGGTAAATAAGAGCCACATCACAGCTGAGACTAAAGCTCTTCTGAAACTGTTGGACACTGTGTAGACGTCCTGACAGAAACTTTTCACCCTGCCATGTTTCAACTTGTGACAGCTGTGGACTCAGATGGGATATTTTCAGCTGTGCATGGACTTATAAGTAAAATTAGGACATAATTTGTTTTAATGAAATGTGCATCAAATGAGCTGCAGTTTGTGCAAAGAACACTGATATAAGAAACATAACTCATTAACTTCTGCCAGTCATGTGGTGACTAAGTTGTTCTGTTCATATATTTGTAAATCAGATTCTGATGAACTGAGTGTCTCACCATCCATGAAGCTCACCGCACGTCACTGATACAAATCTAGAAAATAATTCCCAAAGACCAATCACTACCCTGTAAACTGTGTGTGGGCCTCACGCTCCTACCTTATGCAGGGCGGGGCCCATGACCGGGACGAGGAAGCCGTTGTGGAGGTAACCCAGAAGCTGGGAGCGAACCATGGGGTGAGCCACCTGCACCACGGCGTTGCAGAACTCCAGAGAGTTCATGAAGAGCACGAGGGACGACACGCCCATCCAGTCCTCCCGCCGCAGGGCGTGCCAGTCGTCTCCTCGAGCTTCAATCTTCCTGGGCAGAGAGGAGTAGAGGGCGCTGAGGCCCGTGGCCAACACCTGGCAGGAGGCAGAGAGGCTTCAGAACAATGCTGCTGACCAGTCGGTCAGGACATGTGCAGATGAGTAGATTTCTAATAAACTGTTTATTGTTGTGTTCAATTATATTTAAAATACAAAAAATGTTTTGTCAATTATTAAGGATACTTTTGAAAAGAAAAAGGCCTTTGAAATAAGTAAGTAAGTAAGTAAGTAAGTAAGTAAGTAAGTAAGTAAAGTTTTATGTATATAGCGCCTTTCACAGAAATAAATTCACAAGGTGCTGTACATTCAGGGAAGGGGGGAGGGGGCAGTTAAGACAGGTCATGCAGCAAACACAGTTGCGCTACCTTAACAACAGAAAAACTAAAAACCACAAAAATGGAAGATGAGGAAAAAAGCAAAAACATCATATTATAGCAACACTGTGACACACTATGGTGTTTATGAAAAACCTCAGCATAGGGCAGATTTATTAGCCACAGGAGTAAGTGAGATTAGGGGGCCCGAAGAATCCAGTCCCCAAAACCAGCGCAGCCAAAGTTCAGAATATTGATGGTACTGTTCATTCTGTGAGGCCCTCAGCCTGCTCAGAAAACCAGATCAGATGGGTGAGAGAGGAGGGGGGCGGGTGTGGGGCAGAGCCTTATCGATGTAATCCAGCCAGGAAGAATTTAGTCAACAGCTCAAGGCCGTTGTCGGGGAGATCCAGATTCTGTAATCAGTTGTTTTGGGAACAGAAGAGTCAGGCAGACGATAACAATTTTGTATCGGCTTTAATGTGTCTGCTGGTGCATCTCAAGGTGGCAAATCCAATCAGACAAATAATGAGGACAAATTCTGCTGATCCGATCTGTCAGCTTCTACAAGATCAATTCCATCTGGCCAGCAAAGTCCAGGGACCGCAGCCGGCCCGTGACCCTCAATAGAACCGCTTGCAGACCGAGTCCAGCTCGCTCAAGGCCAATGTCTGTGTGCTGATAGAATACGGCCATCCATCAAATTGGTCAGTCAGCCAGGAGATGAACAGCCACCAATACTGATTTGTAGAACATCAGGAGACCACCAGGCCAATCTGTAGAATCCAGTGATCAGAATCCAGATATATAACCAGAACAGAGAAGAACAGAGGTCCCACCTTTGACATGTCCTCCCATGGAGGAAGAAAAAAACTTTATACCAAAAATTTTATTAAGGGACCAGCTAACCAAATCCATAAAAATATCCATAATTTCTAGTTTCGGATGAAAAATGTAGAGAAGGCTCCAAGCAGCAAAGCAGGGAAAGATAAGGAAGGGCAGGAGAGAAGGAAAAAGCATCTTACTCCTCTGAGAGCAGAAACAAAAAAAATACTAATCAACCTCTTTAAACTGAGAAAAAAATTATTATATTTTATATTTATGCTGTGTTTTTCCCCTCACAAATTATTCACACATTTAAGAGAACAGTTGTCATTTTAATCAAAATGAATGTATGGCATGTGTTCATAATTTAACATCTCAAAATTTATTAGCTATAATTATTTTTATGGCACCTTAAAGTCTTCATATAAATCGCACTACAATTGTTGGCCTTTAATGACAGTCTTTTCGATTTAATGGCAATAATAAATGGAGAAGAAACAGCCTAAACAAAGCAAATCTAAACAGGAAAAAAGAGCACTGAAAGATTCACACTGCTTCCACCCTACAGTTGCTCAGAAACTGACACCTACAGCCGAACAGTCAGGCGAAGCTGAATGTGACGAGCGAGCGTGCAAAGATAGAAAYTAGAGGAGCGTTTGGTCGTGGATGCCACCTCCACTGGACCTTTTCAGCATAAAGTAGGTCACACTGAAGCTGCTGGAAGCGAGAGGAGCAGAAAATAGCTGAGACAGCTCACTGCCACCAGAGCACAAACCAAAAAGCCCCAACGACAGCACTGAATGAACATTTACATGCAAGATTATCACTTTTATAATGCAACGTTAAAACTCCAGTTAGCTAAGTTTAGATATGTTCTCTGATTTTAAAATGTGTGTGTAAATATTCTCATTTCAGAAAACCATGTCCTACACAAAAGAACTACACATAACTTCTATAAAAGTTTATTCATGAGCTTTATGGCTCTTTAATGACATCTAGTGGCAGATGAAGGGATTACAACAATGCAGACATTGTTGAATAGCTTTGAAGTTATTTTTTCTAAGCAGTTGGTCAGAATATTTTATTAAGTATATTAAACACTAACAGGATCCAACATTATGTAACAACAGAGTCAGATTACAACACATCCTTACAACCTTATTAGAATGTTTATTTTACCTCCATTTCACCATTTATTTCCACAGAGTAYTGTCACACACAAAGACCACTTTTAAAACAGTTGATTTTTTTTCCATTAGCAGAGGATGTCAGAGACAAAAACATGTTCACCCACCTTTAACCCTCCTGCTTCCTGAGGGCCAAAATGACCCATGAAGTCTCCGTTTTAAGATTGTCCAATAACCTGAAATTCACTGAATCGTGGTGACAGTTTTCCTTACACCACATTAACCATGTTCACCTCCTGGTCTCACGGGACCCTTCTTGTTAATTCAATCAACAAAGCCTGCGAATCACAAACGGTACATCTGCTGATGTTATCAGTAGAAGGTGAAGAAGTTGCTGAATCTTCAGCTAATCTCAATCAGACTTCCTGACTCCTCAAAGCAAACCACAAATGTGCCAAGAAAGATCAACAGCTCTTTTCTCAGGCAGCGTTAGGAACCATCTAATGGGAATAACTGGGAAGACCCCGACAGTGAAAGCATATGTTTGCTACGTTAGAACTTATTCTCTCCTTTTACGTCTTAAGTCTTTTTATTTATTTAAATCCAAAAACTACGTCAAATTAAAAACTTTTTGCAAAATTTAGGAAGTTCATATTTTGCTGTTTCCATCAACCTCGATAATGCGATACTTCAAAATATACAAAATAAAAAAATGTTGATGGAAACATGGCTACGGATTCCATTACAAATGTTTTAATTATTTGCCACAACTTCTGAAGACCATTATCATCATCATTTTGATAAAAAATATCTGCAGTCTGGATGGATGTTCACTCCACCACTAACAAAGCTGAACTCAATTGTTTTCACAACATCCTGCATTTTAAACAGGCTTCACAGTCATCACAGTTTTCCAAAATATGGTGAGCATCCTGATCAAACTGCAACTTGCAACTGAATGCTCCATTCATTCTTTGGTAACCTGCACAGATTCCAGTTATCTATGTGAGGGCTTTTCCTTTCACCTTGCTATATGGAAACATAAGATATTCCTCTCATTGACTAAAAGACTGAGAAATATAAAGACCTGTTGATGGTGTGTGACCACAGGCAACCTACAGGTCGACTGGAGGAAAGTTAGACTCAAATAAACCCACAAGGACGTATGACCTACTATCTTGTGGGTTGTTTTGACCCAAAGGCTGCAGAGGGGTTAACGTACAATATTTAAGTTTAAAACCTGTTAACATTCAGAGGAACGCCCGCGTGCCGTTTTCGTTTCGTTTTATTTTGAAAGGCCGTTCTGTGTTTCTATTCAACCTGTGTCCGTGTTCAATGTATCAAAATGGACGTCTGGGCACTCCTCTTTCGATTGGCACCTCATTTGACCAACTGGGTTCAAGTATCGACTATCTATGGCCAATAATCTATCAGAAGTGACCAACTTCCGGTTTTCGTCATCCATGCTTGATTGACTGTAGATTTGGCCAGTCAGCTCCGAGCTTTGTTCTGATACCACAGCTGTGTAGCCAATCACCGCACCTTTCATTTGGCGTATATATTGAGGGGGTGGGAACTTTGTTTAGTGACGGGAAAGCTAAATACCCAGGACGTCGCCATGTTTTGACAGTCCTTATGCTAACGGAGGAAGCTAACGCTCACAGGAAAACATTATTTTCCATCGTATTTTGGCCAGTTAGCTGACTAAACCTGCTGATAAGATGAAAATATATTTGTTACTAAGTGTTTCGAGTGCTTCAAGACATGGAAGAGTGATTTTTGTGGCCAGGAGAAGTTAAAAAGTATGGATAAAAAGACTTCGGGTCACCTTTTTTGAATTTCTAATTTGGACATATTTGAGGGCAAATATTTATCAAATGTGAGTGAAAAACAAGTATTTTTTCGCTGCTGGTGGTTTTATAAGCTGTGTGGAATGTTAATGCTGTGAAAGAAATAAGGATGTATTGGTTTATTCTTGCGGTTTGGCTGGTTATTGGTGGAAATTTGGCTGAATGTACTCCAGTTGGTGTAAATATTTCTGAACATTAATATATATTTTTTAATTTAATCATGCTGTGAGTAAATATGGATGGTAGAATGTGTTTTGGGGGGTTTTATCTTTAATTTGAGCCCWGAGTGAAGTCTCTGTGTTGAAGCATTTATAAATTACAGTGTTTTAGAAAAAATGTACAGTTTGGACATGTTGTACAAGTGTACAAATATGCAAATGAGACATGCTGGATTGTACTATGTCTCAAATATTCATATTTTATGCTACTGTTACCAAATTTGAACTGGTAATAATTGGGAATTAATATTTTAGCCCAGTAAAATTTGTTGGATAACATCTCATTCCCTTCAAATTCTGTGATAGTTCACTAATAAAAAATAAAAATTTAGGGAGAAACATTTTGATTTTTGTGTATTTTACTTCAATATACTAAATACTAGTTACAGTTACAAAGAATATGACTGCTGAAGTTAGTAATTCAGATTATTAGCTTTAAAAAGAGACCAAGCTTGTGAATTTACTCTAAAGGGTTCAAAAGCAGTTCTTCATTTAATTTGTGTGTACTTTTTAAGGCGTTTTATGGTATTTCATGAACGAAGGTTTTAAGTGTTTTTTTTTATTGTGCATTAGCGTTTTCATTTATATGTCTCTTGTTTTTTTTTTACCCATTTCCTTTTTCACTGCCTAATAAACCATTTTTTTCAAACTTGTTGTTTGCATGCAAACAAGCAGCCAATAAAGTCTCTTATTTTGAATCATTTAGATTCTTCCAGGTGTGCTGCGACATGAAATGCTAATGGTTATCTTGTAATCTGGGTTTCTAAAACCAGGATAGGAATGTGCAGAAACTGTCCAAATCAGTTATAGCCAAGCAGCTACAACAGCATAGTGATCTTAGTCACCACATTTTGTTCTCTTCTGAACATGTCAACGTTTCTTGGTAATGTCTGATAAGATGAAGATAAGGATGAATGACCTGTCAGAGAGCAAAGTCATCTCCGTCCGCTTCCATTATCACACACCATCACTAATGCATTAGAAATAGAGAGCACCCACGCAATCATCCATCTCTTTTTTAGAAGCTGTGTCAGAAAGCAAGCCAGATTTTATAATTTATCCCCAACCATTGCATTAATAAAGAGGAGAGAAGATTCACTGCTGGACATRTTTTAAGTTATGTTTCCATTGCAAATGTGCGCAAAACTTTGTTGATATTCTGGTAATGTCGAAAAAACACAGTTTCACAACTGCAGTGTTTGCATTAAGTAAGAAATGCTATTAAAGTCACGCGTGAATACGTTTGTTCATGATAAGTCATTACAAACATGGCAGCGATGGATGTAAACACATAGCATGTTGCTACCACGACACTAGCGCTCATCATCAGAGGAGACGTCGGCGTCTTTTATCGAGGCTTTCCAGAGACAAGTCCCTACTTGGGAGCGGCTACGTATGCTGTGTTTTTGGGAAAATGTAGTCAGTGAGTTTACTACTTTATACTACTTCTGTGATATTACTACTACTTCCTGTTATCTTCTTCGTCATCGTCTTTTTCACCAGTAGAAACAGACGGTTGTTGATCACGTGACTCCTGTGATGCGAAAAAAGTGTTTCCATTGCAGTTTTGCAAAAAACACCAATTTCGATACGGCCGAAAAACCACCTCATCCTAGCGCAAAAATATTTTGTCCAAAAACGTAATTTTTTCCGAAATTGACATGTTTCCATTGAGCAAATTTTTTTTCGAAATTCTAATTTGCACATTTTCATGGTCAATGGAAAYGCAGCTATAGTAGTGTAAGAGACAAAACTGAAGCCTGAACCCAGTTTCCTGGAGCAGAATCCCTCACCGGGCAGAAGTAGGAGTTTTCTGCGATGTATCGAGCCACAGCCTCGTGGCTGGCTGAGGCTGCCATCACCAGCAGCAGGGCGTCTCGTGCTTGCTGTCCGATGGCTCCGTCCCGGTGGATGAATGGCACGAGGAGGGAGAAGATCAGCAGATTGGTGGAACCCTGATGGGCCGGTGCAGCCTGAAACAACATCTCAAGAACCACCGGCTGTCGGGCCATGGACACGCACACCTAAAGGGGGACGTGAGACTTTAATTACCCAGAAATTCAATGAAAAGTATTTCATACAAAATAACAGATGTCTAGACCTACGCCCAGAGGTTTAAAGATTTATATTAGCATTTAGCATTCTTTTTTTAAATTTGCCCTTCATTAGGTCCTAAAACTTAAGACCGACACCATAATTTTTTTTTTTAACAAACTCAGAATGTAGAAATGGTGGAGACAGAGGACTGTGGGGTGTATGCACCTGATTCAACAGCAGCACTAAGCTGTTCTCTAAAACTGAGGGACAGCCCAGTTCTGGGTCAGCACAGGACCCAAGCAGCCTCAGCAGGGGGTGAAGGACGGCCGTGTGCTGCAGCAGGGGCTGCTGGGATTGGCCAATGAGCATCTCAAACAACTTGAACAAAGCCCCCTGGCTGTCTGGGTCCAGGCCGCGACGGAGGTGCCACTGAACCAGGCGCTCCAGAATGTTCTCGGTGACGACCAGCTCCAGTATGGGGCCCATGAGGGCCACGCACGAGCCGCCCTCGGGGCTCTCGGTGGGGCGCTCCTCGGCCAGCAGACACAACATCTGGTCGGTGTTATTTCTCACTGCCGTCAGGTCATCACTGGAGGACGAAGTCTCATGCTGCTCCAAAACCCAAGACACCTGAGGGAATAGAAAAATGAAAAAAATATTTTGTGTTTTTATGCCTTTATATGAAGAAGTAAGAAAAGTAGTCATTCAGTGTAATGAAGGGGTGGGTTATTCTGGTCCTCGAGGGTTGCAGCCCTGCATGTTTTACCTTTTTTTTTTCTTCCCCTGCTACAACACACCTGATTCAGTCATTGATTTACAGTGGTGGGCACTAGCCCACTAAAACACAAATCTGCTAATTGTGGACCTAAATATTTCATTTGTGCTTYAGCGGTCTTACTAATTTTTATAATTCATAAGCAGATTTG